AAGACATAAACATTCGGGGCATCTTGGTGGCTCAGTCGGTTAAGCATCTGACTTCAGCTCAGGTCATGACCTCATGGGGTTTGTAAGTTTGAGCTCTACCTTGGGCTCTCTGCTGTCAGTGCACAGCCTGCTTCAGCTTCTGTCTCTCTCTCCCTCTGCCCCTCCCCTACTCATGCTCAGGTGCTCAATCTCTCTCTCTCTCTCAAAAATAAACAAACATATAAAAAAATAAAAAGAGCTTGTTCCTGAAAGGAAGGGTATTCTGGAGCCAACCCGCTGGGATTAAAGGGGGAATCAAAGTCCAGAGAAAAACTAAAAAATCCAGGTCATTATAGTAACTGTACTGGGTTATAATGGAAGAAAACAAATTTAAAAACATGTGTTAAGTAGGGGCTCCTGGATGGCTCAGTTGGTTAAGCTTCCAACTTCAGCTCAGGTCATTATCCTGTGGTTTGTGGGTTCAAGTCCCACATCAGGCTCTGTGCTGACAGAGCCTGGAGCCTGCTTCAGATTCTGTGTCTCCCTCTCTCTGTGCCCCTCACCCACTCACACTCTGTCTTTCTCTCTCTCAAAAATAAATAAAAATTAAGAAAAGAAAAGAAAAATAAAATAAACACTAAAAATATAAAATAAAATACGACTTACAGAAACATTTGGCACATTTTACCACTTATAAATAGAACTGAAAACTAATTTCAAATTTCAAATTACACAGTAGCAAAAATTATTCACAAAAATATACAAGAACCATAGAGGGTCATGAAATTTAATATCAAAAAAAACCTTAAAAAACCATAAGCTATGAAACTAGAAATCAAGTAGAAAAACTCTGGAGAGAACACAAACACATGGAGGCTACACAACATGCTACTAAGCCACAAACAGGTCAACCAAGAAATCAAAGAGGAAATCAAAAAATACATACAGACAGATGAAAATGAAAACACAATGGTCCAAAATCTTTGGGACTCAGCAAAAGCAGTTCTTTTTTTATTAATTTTTTTATTTTTATTTTTGAGAGAGAGAGAGAGAGACAGAGTGTAAGCAACGGAGGGGCAGAGAGAGAGAGGGATACATAGAATCTGAAGCAGACTCTAGGCTCTGAGCTGTCAGCACAGAGCCCAATGTGGGGCTTGAACCCACAAACCACAAGATCATGACCTGAGGCGAAGTCACAAGTTCAATCGACTGAGCCACCCAGGCACCCCTGCAAAAGCAGTTCTAAGAGGGAAGTTTATAGAGATACAGGCCTATTTCAAGAAGCAAGAAAAATCTCAAATAAACAACCTAACCTTACATGTAAAGGAGCTAGAGAAAGAAGAACAAAGCCCAAAGCTAGGGAAGAAAGGAAATAATAAATATGAGACCTAAAATAAATGAGACAAAGACAAAAACACAACAACAACAGAAACAATTAATGAAACCAAGAGCTGGTTCTTTGAAAAGATCAACAAAATTGATAAACCTTGAACCAGACTCAGCAAGAATAAAGAATACTCAAATAAATAAACTCAGAAATGAAAAAGGAGAAATAACAAGTACATCACAGAAATACCAAGTATCATAAGAGAATATTATGAAAAAGTATATGCCAACAAATTGGACAACCTAGAAGAAATAGATACATTCGTAGAAGCATATAATCTCCCAAAATTGAATCCAGAAGAAACAGAAAATTTGAACAGACTGATGATCAGCAATGAAACTGAATCAGTAATCAAAAACCTCCCAACAGAATAAAGTCCAGGACCAGATGGTTTCACAGGTGAAATGTTTAAAAAAGAATTACTACCTATTCTTCTCAAACTTCTCCAAAAAATAGAAGAGAAAAGAAAACTTCCAAATTCATCCTATAAGGCCAGCATTTCCCTGATAGCAAAACCAGACAAGGGCACTACAAAAAAGAAAAGTACAGGCCAATATTTCTGATGAACATAGATGCAAAAATCCTCAACAAAATATTAGCGAATGGAATCCAACAATACATTAAAATCCCAACCCATAAGCAAGTGAAATTTATTCCATACATCACATTAACAAAAGAAAAACTATATGATCATTTCAATAAATGCAGGAAAAGCATTTGACAAGATACAATATTCTATTTATAATAAAAACTCTCAATAAAGTGGGTTTAGAGGGAACATGCTTCAACATAATAAAGACCATACATGAAAAACCCACACTACATCATAGTTAATGGTAAGAAACTGAAAGCTTTTCCTCTAAGGTCAGGAACAAGACAGGGATGTCCACTCTTACCACTTTTATTCAACATAGTACTGGAAGTCCTAACCACAGCAATCAGACAAGAAAAAGAAATAAAAGGCAGCCATATTAGTAAAGAAGAAGCAAAATATCACTACTTGCAGATGACATGATACTCTATATAGAAAACTCTAAAGACTTCACCAAAAAACCATTAGAACTGAAAAATAAATTCAGTAAAGTTGCAGAATACAAAATCCATATGTAGAAATCTATTGCATTTCTATGCACTAATAATGAAGTGGCAGAAAGAGAAATTGAGAGAACACTCCCATTTACAATTATACCAAAAAAGAATAAAACACCTAGGAAAAAATTTTACCGTGGTGAAAGGTCTGTACTCTGAAAACTATAAAACACTGATCTAAAAAAAATTTGAAAATAACACAAACAGGGGCGCCGGGTGGCTCAGAGGGAGGGCTAAGCGTCTGACTCTTATTTTGGCTCAGGTCATGACCTCACAGTTTCATGAGTTCAAGCCCCACGTCTGGCTCTGTGCTGGCAGCCTGGAGCCTTCTTGGGATTCTCTCTCATCCTCTCTCTCTCTATGCCCCTTTCCCATTCATGCTGTCTCTGTATCTCTCAAATAAATAAGTAAATTTAAAAAAATTTTTAAAAAGAAAATGACACAAACAAAAGGAAAGATACACTCAGCTCATGGTTTGGGAGAATTAATATTGTTAAAATGTCCATATTACCCAAAGTGACCTACAGATTCAATGCAATCCCTATCAAAACAGCAACAGTTTCCACAGAACTAGAACACGTAATCTGAAAATTTGTACAGAACCACAAAAGACACCAAATAGTCAAAACATCCTTGAGAAAGAAAAACAAAGCTGAAAGTATCACAATCCCAGATTTCAAGATATATTACAAAGCTGTAATAGTTAAAACAATATAGTCCTGGCATAAAAACTGGCATATAGATCAATGGAACAGAAGAGAGAGCCGAGAAATAAACCCACGTGTATATGGTCAACTGGTCTATAACAGAGGGAGGCAAGAATATAGAATAGTGAAAAAGACTGTCTTTTTTAGGAAATGGTACTGGGAAAACTGGACAGCTACATGCAAAAGAATGGAAATGGGCCACTTTCTTACAACATATACAAAATAAACTCAAAATGAATTAAAAACCTAAATGTGAGACCTGAAACCATAAAACTTCTAAAAGAAAACACAGGCACTAATCCATACTTGTGGATATGTTTCCTGAGGCAAGAGAAACAAAAGCAAAAAATATTACTGGACTATACCAAAATAAGAAGGTTTTGCCCAGCAAAGGAAACCATCAACAAAACAAGAAGGCAACCTAGTGAATAGGAGAGGATACTTGCAAATATATATCCAATTAGGTGTTAATATTCAAAATATATAAAGGACTTATATAATTCAAATATATTCAAAAATTCAAAAAAACTCCAAATAATCTGATTAAAAGCTAGGCAGAGGACCTAAATAGACATTTTTCTTTTCAAAAAAGACATACAGATACCAAACAGGCACATGAAAAGATGCTCAACATCACTAATCATCAGGAACGTGCAAATCTAAACCACAATGAGATGTCACCTCACACCAGTCAGAGTAGCTAGAATCAAGTAATAAGTGTTGGTGATGATGTGGAGAAAAGGGAACCCTTGTGTACTATCGGTAGGAATGTAAGTGGGTACAACCACTTTGGAAGACAGTATGGAGGTTACTCAAAAAATTAAAAATAGAATTACTATATGATCCAATGATTCCACTATTGCGAATTTACCCAAAGACAATGAAAATACTTATTCAAAAATGATATAGGCACCTCTGTTTATTGCAGCATTATTTATAATAGTCAAGATAAGGAAGCAACCCAAGTGTCCATCAATAGATGGATAAAAAAGATGTGGTACGCGTGCGTGCGCGCGCGCGCGCGCACACACACACACACACACACACCATACACAATGGAATTTTACTCATCCATAAAAAAAAGAACGAAATCTTGGTGCACCTAGCTGTCTCAGTCAGTGGCGTGGGTGACTCTTGATCTCGGGGCTGTGGGTTTGAGCCCCACACTGGGTGTGGAGATTAGTTAAAAATAAAATCTTTTTAAAAAAAGAACGAAATCCCACCACTTATGACAACATGAATGGACCTAGAGGCGATTACGCTAAGTGAAATAAGTCAGAGAAAGTCAAATACCATAGGATTTCACTTATCTGTGGAATCTGAAGAACAAAACAAAACAAAAAAACCAAAAAACCAAAAAAAGGTTTTTAAAGATGGAGAACAAACTGGTGGTTGCCAGAGGAGAGGTCAATGGGGGAATGAGCAAAATAGATAAGGGGTGTAAGAGGTACAAACTTCCAGATATAAAATAAATTAAGTCACAGGGATGAAAAGTAGAGCATAGGGAATGGAGTCAGTAATACTGTAATAACACTGGTGACAGATGGTGAGTACACTTATTGTGGTATTTAGTAACGTATAAAACTTTCCAATCAATATGTTGTGCATCTGAAACTAATAGAACATATGTTAATTATAGCTCAATTTAAAAAATCCATAAGCTAAGATAAATAAAGCAGCAATAGACAAGAGAAGGAAATTCACACAAGGGAAAGGAATGACCAATAAAAATTCCCTCATTATTGCTGCTTGGTTAAAAAACAAGTCATACAAATTAAAATGAGATACGATCTTTCATTCTGGATGAATTCCTGCCCCTGCCACCTCTTCCTCCTCACCTCACACAAGTTGTCACATCTCCCCACAGCCAGAGCCAGAGATGGCCCGGGAGAGGTCTGGTTGGCTGGCATGTTCCCGCTGGGCCGCAGCCTTCCAGCTCTCTTGCTGATGCTCCTCCCAGAGAGCCAGAAGCCAGGTGCGGTCCGTGGGCTCAAACAGAGCTGCTGGGGCCAGAAGGAAGTTTCTGCGGCCCCCGCTATGGGATCTGGCCCATGGGCTCAACAGAGACTCCAAGAAACCTGGAAAGACAAGTGTCCACATAGTCAGTCATTCAGCAATCACCCCAAAAACCCTTCCTGGAGGCACCCAAGTACAGTTCCTGGCAATGGATACCGTAGAGCAGACAAGGTTCCGTCACTGCCGATTCTGGTTATTCATCAAAACGGAACATGAGCAAGATCATGAGATTTAGATTAAAATTGATAAAGGCTTACATTCTAGCTCTGCCAACTTTTAGCTACGAGAGTATAAAAATGTTTCTTCATTTTCTCTCTCTCAAAAATATTTTTATTTTTTATTTTTTTTAATGTTTTATTTATTTCTAGGAGAGAGAGAGAGACAGCATGAGCAGGGGAGGGTCAGAGAGAGAGGGAGTCACAGACTGAAACAGGCTCCAGGCTCTGAGCTGGCAGTCAGCACAGAGCCCAACGCAGGGCTCGAACCCACGAACCGTGAGATCATGACCTAAGCGAAAGTCGGACGCTTAACCGACTAAGCCACCCAGGCGCCCCTCAAAAATATTTTTAAAAAATTAAAAGGGGCACCTGGGTGGTTCAGGGGGTTGAGCGTCTGACTTCAGCTCAGGTTATGATCTCCCGGTTTGTGAGTTCGAACCCTGCGTTGGGCTAGCTTACTGCTGTCAGCGCGGAGCCTGCTTCAGATCCTCTGTTCTCTCTCTGCCCCTCCTCTACTTGAACTCTCTCAAAAATAAACATGTTAGAAAAAGGCTTCTTCATTTTCTTTTCAAAATGAGTCAAAACTATTTCCCTCAAGAGGCTGTGAAAATTAAATGAGGTGCCGTACATAAGGCACTTCGCACCAGGCTGGCCCAAGTAAACATTTAATTCAAATTAGCAAGCACTGTGATTACAAGGAATCGTGGAATATGCAAAAGCAGGTACCTCACTGAATCTGCACAACAATTTTGTCACCTACATGTTGCCAAAAGCATGATCATTTCATTTTATGCACACAGAAACGGGCTTTGTTTCTGTCTACCTGGCTTCAAAGTTCACATTCTCAACACTATAACACAGTACCTTTTGTGTGGTCAGCTTAAAATAAACATGGTTCTGTTTAACGGATGTTGAAAACATGGCTGTGGTTTGGAATTTAAAAAAGGAAAGTTTCTTAAAACAGAAGAGATATTCCATAAGGAAAAATATTAATAGCCTGGGACTGCAATGTTTTAATTACTTCAAAATATTCAGAGGTAAAACTGTTTCCCCTGTTACAGGGTCTAGAGGGGCGAGAGTGTCTCTGTGCCTATCCTAAGGAACAATTGTATTCTGATCAACTAACAGAAGCATACTGCTAGGTATGGCAGGGAAAGTATCCTTTATAAAATGAAGAGGAACACAAGTAAGAAAGACAACAAAAATAAGAAACGGGATAAAGAGGAAACAAGAAAGTAAATAAGGAGTAAAATAAAAGGCATAATCAGGTTGAATTTTAAACACATAAACATGACGTTATACCAAAGAAAGAGAGACTATGCTTTCTTTTCTTATGTTCATTAACTTTTACAAAATTCCATCAAATAATGTGGCCAGGAGGGAAATCTTGTAGATATTTTCATGCTGGGAATTGACAGGCTACATTGTCTGATCATAGTATAAGATGTTCAATATAGGAGCGCCTGGGTGGCTCAGTTGGTGAAGTGTCCAACTTCAGCTCAGGTCATGATCTCACAGTTTGTGAGCTAGAGCCCCACATCGGGCTCTGGGCTGACAGCTCAGAGCCTGGAGCCTGCTTCAGATGCTGTGTCTTCCTCTCTCTCTAGCCCTCCTCCCCGACTCTCAAAAATAAATAAACGTTAAAAAAATTTTTTTTAAAGATGTTCAATATCATTAGTCATTAGGGAAATGCAAGGCAAAACAAAAATATTCTATTCATTAGGAAACCACTTCACATCATCAGAATGGCTAAATGAATGGGGGGGGGAAGACTAGTAACAGGCATTGGTGAAATGTGAATCAATTGAATCATATATTGCTAGTAGAATTCTAAAATGGCTGGGGCGCCTGGGTGGCTTAGTCGGTTAAGCGTCCGACTTTCGCTTAGGTCATGATCTCGCGGTTCGTGGGTTCGAGCCCCGCGTCGGGCTCTGTGCTGACTGCCAGCTCGGAGCCTGAAGCCTGTTTCAGTCTGTGACTCTCTCTCTCTCTCTGACCCTCCCCTGCTCATGCTGTCTATCTCTCTCTCTCTCTCCTAGAAATAAATAAAAAATATTTAAAAAAAAAATAAAATAAAATGGTATAGCCACTCTGAAAAACAGTTTGGCAGTTCCTTAAAATGTTACCCATAGAGTCACCATATGATCCAGCAATCCCTCTCCTAGGTACCTAGCCAAAAGAAATGGAAACACATGTCTGCTCTAAAACTTATATACACAACTATTCACAGCAGTATTATTCACAGTAGCCAAAAAGTGGAAACCACATAAATGTCCATCATCTGAAAATGGATAAACAAAGTTTAGGAAAGCCATACAATGGAATATTATGTGGCAATAAAAAGTATTAATACATGCTACAACAAGAATAAACCATGAAATCACTATCTTACTTGAAAGAAGTCACTCACAAAAGACCACAGATTTTATGATTCCATTTATGTAAAATATTCAGACTAAGCAAATACATAGACACAGAAATTTGATTACTAGTTGCCTAGGCCGGGAGTGCAGGGTGGCCTGAATGGTGAATATCTGCTAATGTGTACCAGGTTTCTTTCTAGAGTATTGAAAACGCTCTAAAATTAGACTGTGATAATGATTTCACGACTGTGAATGCACTAAAAACCACTGAAATGTATACTTTAAATGGATGAATTTTATGGTACTGGAACATATCTATTTTGTATATCTAAATAAATCTGATTATTTTTTTAATTTTTAAAATTAATTTACTTAAAAATAATTTTTAAATAAATCTGTTTTCAAAGAAAAGGAAGACTTTCCTAAATAACCCAGGGTAAGTGGGAAGTCAATATAGAAGCCACACAATTTTTACCAGAAGTCATGGTACACACTCAAGTTATATAGAGTGAAATTTACACTTTTAAATGGCTTGTTTTTAATTAAAAATAAATATAACAAAAAAGAACTATGTATTCAGCCCAAAACATTAGAATTAGAAAAAACAAAACTAGGCAAAGCCCCTCCCCCAATAAAGTAGTTGTTAATAAAAATAAAATCTTAAGTAATTCAAATAAATATAACAGGGGGTTTAAAAGGAAACAAACAGCTAGTGCTTTGAAATGACCAATGTCAGAGATAACCCCCTAGCAAATCAGATAAAGGAGAATAGCTTAAAACATATAATAGATACAGATAGATATATAAATATAGATATAGATGTAGGTATATAAATATAAATAGATATTGATATAGGCATAGATATAGACATCTTGCCCAGATAGGGCAGTATTTCAAAATTATTATTGTGGGATATACATAACTGTATAGCAACATATTTTCATATTGATGTAAAACAGGTGCTTCCCTAGCAAAGTGAAAATTAACAAAGTTAATACAGGGAAAAAACAAAAGAGAACAATAAATGTCTAAGAGACCAGGGTGGGAAAAATGACATAATACAACAAATACAATAGTAAGACTCTGAGATGTAGAAAGGAAAGGCACATAGCCCATGGATCTCAGGGCCTGAGGAACAACACAGTGGTGAATTCCCCAGATTTCTTTTTCCTCCCATAGATCACAAACAGGGCACTGGAGAAGCTTATAACTCAGAACTGTCAACAGGTACAGACAAAAAAGCTCTGAGAAAAGCCCACTTCCCTTAATCAAAGGACCAAGAAAAGGGTGGTCTAACTAAACATATTCATCCCACTCCAGCCACATAACTAACAGAATATACATTCTCTTCAAGCACCTATGCAATATTCTCCAAGACCTACCACACTCAGGGTCATAAAACAAACCTCATTAAATTGAAATCATACAGTATATGTTCTCTAATATCATCAAACTAGAAATTAATAACAGAAAGATAACAGGAAAGTGTCCTAACACTTGGAAATTAAACAATTTCTATATAATCCATGGATCAAGGGAAATTAAAAAGTAATGAATGAAAATAAAAATACAACATATCATAATTTTTTAGATGCACATAAAGCAGTGTTGAGACAGAAGTTTATAGTAGTAAATGTTTATATTAGAAAAGAATTAAGGTGGGGCACCTAGGTGGCTCAGCCAGTTGGGAATCCAACTTCAGCTCAGGTCATGATCTCATGGTTCGTGGGTTCGAGCCCCATGTCAGGCTCTGTGCTGACAGCTCAGAGCCTGAAGCCTGCTTCTGACTTTGTGTCTCCCTCTCTCTCTGCCCCTCCCACACTCACACTCTATCTCTTAAAAATGAATACACGTTAAAAAAAATTTTTAAAGAAAAGAATTAAGGCTTTAAATCAATACTTTAAGCTCTCATCTCAAGAAACTAGAAAAAGAACAAAGAAAACTCAAAGAAAGCAAATGGAAGTAATAAATATAAGAGCCTAAATCAATAAAGTTAAAAGCACTTACCAAATTGTTGAATCACTCTATAGTACACCTGAAATAAACAATAATAGTTGAGAAAAGAATATATCTGTATGTAAATACAGAAAGAAAGAAATTGTAAACAGAAAAATAATAAAGAATAATCAATAAAACCTAAAGCTGGTTCTTTGAAAAGGCTGATAAATTTGGTAATCCTCTAGTAAGACTGAAAAAGAGAAGGAGAAAGAACATACAAATTACCAATATCAGACCTGAAACAGAAGATGTAACTGTAGATGCTGTATCCTTTAAACTTTGGAAAGTGAGGGAAGACCACAAACAACTGGATGAAAATTCAATAAATTCAATGATTTGGATGAAATAATCCAATTCTCCACAAAACGCAAACTCCCACAACTCACCCACGATTAAATAGAGAGTCTGAAAAACAATAATCTGAATAGTCCTATAACTACTGTAGAAGTTGAAGCCAAAATCAAACAGCTTCCAAAAGGAAATGTCCAAGCCCAGATGGTTTCACTGGAGAATTCTACCAAACATTTAAAGGAAAATTAGCATAACTCTACACAGTCTCTTCCAGAAAATACAAGAGGAAAGAATACTTCCCAGCTCATTCTATGAGGCCAGTATTACCCTAATTCTAAAACCAGACAAAGACAGAACAAAAGAAACAAAAACTATAGACCAATATCTTTCATAAACTGAGTCGCAAAAAATCCTCAGGAAAAAAAAGCATTAGCTAATCAATTCCTGCAACATATTAAAAGAACTATACACCACAACCAAGTGAGATTTATTCCAGGAATGTAAGGCTAGTTCAACATTCAGAAATCAATCAGTGCATTCTCCCATATTAACAGGCTAAAGAAAAATCACAAGATCATATACATTCATACAGTATTAACAAATTTTAACACCCATTCATGATAAAAACTGACAGACACATAGATCAATGGAACGGAATAAAGAACCTAAAAACAGCCCCACACAAGTATGGCCAATTTATTTTTGACAAAGGTGTAAAACAAGTCAAGGAAGGAAGGCTAGTCTTCAACAAATGGTGCTTGAGTAACTGGACATCCAAAGAGATGAGCTTCAATCTAAGTCTCACACTTTATAATAAACTCACAATGCATCATGGACAGCAGGAAGGAGAAATGCACCAATCACCATCACACCAGAGAGTTCCTCTCTCCTTTCTCAGTAACAGGAGAAAAGGACAACAAACAGTGCAAATTTTGTATGACACGGTTGACAACTAAACAACTAAATATTATTTCTGACTAAAATATGGAACATTTATAAAAAGTACGGCCTAGACCATGAGTCTCCTCCTATTTCAAGGAGTGAGCTTCACGTAGACCGCTAAGGTTAGACATCTATTAAAAAGATAAACTTTTGGAAACTAAAAATGGACTTCTAAGTAACTCATGGGCAGAAGGAAAATCAACTCTTCGGGAACACTTAGAACATAATGCACCAAACCTTGTGGGTCTTGGAGTGAAGTTCGGGATCTTAACGTTGACAGAAGAGGAAAATAATGATCGAATCATCCAACTACAGTTAGACAACCGATTCTACCACTGACCACACAGAATTCCTCAACACTCACCCTCCCTGGAGACCCATCACCTCCACATCCCTCCGACACAGTGCAATGAGATCCTCCCGACAACTATTGAACCACTGCTGAGAACCGTAGCTGCTTCCGGTCACCACCCCTAGCACCGCCCCTTCTCAGGGTTTGGGGCGAGGAACGAAGGGGGCGTGGTTCTGCACACGCGCAAAACCACATTCGAAGCCGCTGTCAGCCCAGAGTCAACATGGGGACGTTACGGAGTCGGTGATTTGGCGCATTCAGTGCCGCTCGGCCGTGTTGTCAGGCGGGGAACATGGCCGCGCCCAAGTCGCGCTTCCCTGTGGGGTGCGCCATGTTGGAGGAGTGACCATTCCGTACTGAGGGTGGGGCAGCCTCTAAACTCACACAGCAGAGCCCTGGAGCTGTCTCACACGGTGGCGCGGAGCATGGGTGAGAACGTTCTTCCGGGCGGTCTTCCTGAAGGAGGGGGTCTTTGCATCTGTACTCTGGATCTGTGCACTAATGTTCAGAGAAGTTGAAATGCCTCTGGAAAGACGCAGATGTGCCAGTGGCTGTTCTCTCCTGGCCGATACCACAGGATGAGAAGGGGGAGAAGTCAGACTGGTTTACAGACCCCTCCTGGAACATACCATGAAAAAAGAAGGGGAGGAAATTGGGGATGTGCAAGCCCTCCTAGGATATAGCACTGGCGGAGAAAGGGGAGAAGTCAGTGTTAGACTCTCCTCCGCTGTGGGGGTCTGAATGGTCCCATAGTCTACATTATCTCCCACTCTGGCAACCTCAGATAAAATAAAATATGTACCAATAATACACTTTCAGATTTGTCCTTAATCTAAAGCAATATGGTAGTAAAAGCATCTTTAGGGAACCATTATTTTTATTTCCACATAAAATAAAATCGCATAGTGATAATCCCTTTGAAAATGTAGCGTTAAGACAAAACTGATTCTACCCTTTAGCCAGTTTGCTGCCTCTAATATTACTTATCATACAAAAATTCTGGAGATGCCTATACCCTTCTAGGAGATGTCACTGAGGCAGAAAGAAATCCTGTTGCCATTTATCTAGGAATGCATACTTTTCCTTCAAAACCAAGTTCAGATATCTCCTCCTCCAGGGAATCATCCTGACGGAGGTAGAAGGCTCTGTACCCGGCTGAAGGCCTTCCTGAATCATCAGGTGAGGAAGATGCTTTGAGGGGACCTGACACATTCTCAGGTATGGACTTGCTGGATGCTCTCAGTCCAGTCACATCCCCTCTGGGTCTCAGTTTAACAATCTGGAATGTAAGGGTGTCCTACTCAGCCTAAGACCATCTGGGACTGATTTGTGGTCTGACAGATCCAGCAATCAATGAGGAGACCACCCACCAGAGGAACCATGGAGTATCTCACTAATTAAAGGAAAAGATAGAATTCTAGGATTCTGAGGACTGGTGAAGTTCAGATGAAATATAAATGAAGCAGTGTTTTGGTAACATTAAATAATGCTGAACAGTATGCGAACTGCAAACTGAACCGAGTCCTGTTATTTTGGAAACAATGAAATTCAGATAGATGTAGAATGTTGTGTCTAGGTACCCCTTAGCTCTGTTCAGGTTTGAAAATCTTGGCTGCATTTTTGTGTCTAAGTTACTTAGAGTCTCCAGCAAGAGTAGGATGTTTCATTCATACTGATACCGGTCTGAATGGCAGTTTTTTGATAGTCTATGATTGTAGAGAAGGAAGTTTCCTGGTAACTAAGAAAGCAGCAGTCACTCAAAATAGAGCTCTGTGTGGCATTACAGCTGCAGTCCTTGGGAGAAATAATGTTTCCTGTTAACTTTGCATCTGAGTTTATCTGTGATTGTTCTCCCAGCCTGATGAATGGCCGGGTAGATTTTTATAGTCTGAGCTAATTTTTGCTTTCTTAGAGGGTAGGACTCTCCAATTACTCCAAATCTTCTATAAGCCCGGTCTGAGAGTTTATTGAATGAATAGACGAAGAAGAAATTGAATCAATGGTAGCATGTCTGGCATGCAGACACTTCTATATAGAATTCCAAGGGGTGCCTGGGTGGCTCAGTTGGTTGAGCGTCCGACTTCTGCTCAGGTCATGGTCTCACGGTTCATGAATTCGAGCCCCGCGTCGGGCTCTGTGCTGACAGCTCAGAGTCTGGAGCCTGCTTCTGATTCTGTGTCTCCCTCTCTCTACCCCTCTCTTGCTCATGCTCTGTCTCTGTCTCTCACAAAAGCAAAATAAACATTTAAAAAAATTTTACATAGAATTCCAAGAATCACTGTTAATGAAAAAGGAGGGGCGGCGCCTGAATGGCTCATTTGGTTAGGTGTCCGACTTCAGCACAGGTCAGGATCACAGGGTTTATGAGTTGGAGCCACATCGGGCTTTCTGCTGTCAGTGCTTCGGATCTTCTGAGACTCCCCCTCTGCCCCTCCCCCCTCAAAAATAAATAAACATTAAAAAAAAAGAGTCGTTGTTAATGTTGTTGAACATCCTAATAGTACTACAGTTATGTTTTTAAAAGTAATAGGTCTATTAGACCATTTCAGAGAAGGAAAGATAGAGCCAATAAACATATGAGGAGATGTTCAGTCATTAGCGATCACGGAACTACAAATCAAGACATAATAAGGTTATGTTTTACACCCATTCAATTTACAAAAATTTCAGTCCGTCAATACCAAGAGGATGTACACCCACAGGATCTTTTTGCCCTGTTGAAGAAATGTGAATCAGGGTAACTGCTTTAGAAAGTAGGCATTCCCTCCTACAGTGAATATTTACGTATCTCACAATCCAACCAGTCCACTCTTAGGAATATATCCAAAAGAAACACTCTGCACAAACCTAGGATATGCATGACAATCTGTTCACAGCAGCAAAATCAGGAAACAAAAATGGATGCACATCAACAGGAGTCAAAATGAATAAACTAGAGGGGCACCTGGGTGGCTCAGTTGGTTGAACGTCCGACTTGGCTCAGGTCATGATCTCGCAGTTCGTGGGTTCGAGCCCCGCGTCGGGCTCTGTGCTGACAGCTAGCTCAGAGCCTGGAGCCTGCTTCTGATTCTGTGTCTCCCTCTCTCTCTGACCCTCCCCTGCTCTCTCTCTCTCTCTCTCTCTCTCAGAAATAAATAAAAATTAAAAAAAAAATAAACTAGAACAATGCCCAGCAATATGGATGAACGTTAAAGGAAAAAATCCCTGTAATTCCCAAAAGATTATATCAAGCATAACACATTTTTATAAAATTAAAAGCTACTAATATAAAGAACAAATTATTTAGGACTGTGTGTAATTGTGATAAAATCATATTAAAAATAAAATATTGGTGAACTTAGGATTCAGGATGATATTTACCTCAGTTAAGGGGAGGCAGGGCAATGAATTGGGGGACCACATGGACAGATGGAGGTTATTGTCAAGGCCATACAATGGATGGTAGGCACATTAAGTGCTAACCTTATTATTAAAACTATTTAAATTAATTGGGAAAATTAAGCTGTAAGATTTATATCGAAATGTATAAACAGAAAGTTGGCAGAGAAAGGTGCTGTCCTTTTTTTGAATGGGACAGGAAAATGTTTGGCCCCAACCCAAAGATGCCATCCAGTGGTGGGATGAGCAGAGAGGCAGGAACCCCAGACCTTGACAGTTACTGGAGCTCCTGACAGAGATGCTCTGGTTCCACAGCTCCCTTCGTTACACCTGCTCAATGTCGTGTCTTTAGATGTCTTTCTTCCTTAACCTACCCACCACTCTCTAGCTCCTCACCGTGCTTTAGTTTTCTTCACAGCCTTCCTTAAAAAAATGTTTAATGTTTATTTATTTTGAGACAGAGAGGGATTGAGAGAGCAAGCAGGGGAAGGGCAGAGAGAGAGACAGAGACAGAGAGAGAGAGAGAGAAGATCCCAAGTAGTTTCCCCACTGTCAGCACAGAGCCTGATTTCAGGGCTCCATCTCACGAACAGAGATCATGAGTTGGACACTTAGTGGACATAGCTACCCAGGTGCCCCTAGCCTTCCTTTTTATTGGAAATTACTTTATTCATGTGTCGTTTACTCCTTTACTTGTTCATGCTGGTAATGAAGTGATTTCTGCTTCTCGCATTTGTGGAGTAATCAACTGCTTTATTTTTGGTATCTTCACCACCCATGCAGAGAGCAGTAAAACACACACAACCAGGTTCATTGTCTTAAAAGATTACTTATTCCCTTCAAAAAAAACTCTGCAGGCATCTCTGGATGACACAACTAATTGATTTGGTAGGAGTAATGCAGAAAATAGTAAAGAGATGCAGAACTTATAAGTATATATGAGACCCTATTTGTTCATCCATCAAATATTTATTGATCACTGGCCATTGCTTTGGTACTTGATGTTTGGCAAAACAAAACAGGCCCGAAATTCCTAGCTTTGTGAGCCCAGCCTCCTAGTAAAGAAGAGGGCAATAAGCATTGTTTATCAAAAGTTGATAACTGCTGGGGCGCCTGGGTGGCTTAGTCGGTTAGGCGTCTGACTTGCGCTTGGGTCATGATCTCGCGGTTCGTGGGTTCGAGCCCCGTGTCGGGCTCTGTGCTGGCTGCCGGCTCGGAGCCTGGAGCCTGTTTCGGTCTGTGACTCCCTCTCTCTCTGACCCTCCCCTGTTCACGCTGTCTCTCCCTCTCCTAGAAATAAATAAAATATTAAAAAAAAAAAAAGTTGATAACTGCTAAGAGGGGTGGATGGGGCAGTGAAGTGAGTTAGAAATGTGGGGGGAGGGGGCTGCCACGTCAAATATAGAGGGATCAGAGTCTCCTTTTATTATTGGAGAGAGAGAACGCGTGAGGAGGGGATGAGGGGTAGAGCGACAGAGAGAGAATCTTAAGCAAGATCTACACTTAGCGTGGAGCCCTATGTGGGGCTAGATCCAATGACCCTGGGATCATGACCTGAGATGAAATGAGGAGTTGGACACCCCACTGACTGAGTCATCCAGGAACCCCGAAATATCAGAGTTTCTTTTTAAACTCTACAACCGACTGTCCCGAATCCTGGAGCAGGCCAGTTGTGAGTCTTCACATTTATG